ACACACACACTGATTCAAACAGGAGGTGGTAGACGACTACATTACTCAACCTTGTGTCCTGGTACTTCGGTCCCGGGCACCGCAGCCTTCATGGTAAAGTTTTCCACGCCGGCTCCACTGAGGGAGTCCAGCATCTTCTGTCTCGTATCGTCAGCTGCAGGCTGCTGGAGGCGCTGTTCCTCTGCCTCCTGTCGCTCCTCAGCCAGCCTAAGACACAAATACCACAAACTAAAACTATCTATCATAGATCCGTGCGTGGATCAAGAAAGTGGAATACTTTCTGTATATGCTGTAAAGAGCCACTCCCTCAAGAATCACAAGAATGTGTTGAATGTGAAGAGCCCAGAACTTTGAGGAAAACAATTTATCTATTAATCAGGAACATAATCTGAAGGTGAGTCTGTCAAGAAAATAACTGTTAGCTGCAGCACTAATATGTCAACTTCCTTTCGCTCTATAGTCACGTTTGTTGTGTTTGTATTAAACTGTCCAAAGACTTTCATGTTGAGGTGAACGTGACTGTACCTGTGCAGGAAACTCTCCTTGGCTGTTTCAATCTGCAGAGTTCCTCCTTTCCATTTGGATTTGTTCAACACCGTCAAACCTGCAGAGGAAACACATCGATTCAAAACGAGCTCTGGTGTAAGTTAGACTTGAAGGCTTAATGACAATAAATTACATGTTCAGACCGAGTGTTGTTTCAGTTTGACAGCGGAGGAGTCCCACTCGCAGTCTGAATGAACATCAGTTACACAGAACATTAGGAAGCTGTCGCAGCAGCTCAGTTCACTCACATTTCTTCAGGTCTGCGTCTGAAATGTTGATGTTAATGTAGCCGAAGGTTTTGTAAGGAATACCTGCAGGAGAAGAGCAAGAGTCAGAACACATGCAGAGTCACTGAAGAGGATTCTAGAAAACCTGGCTAAAGATGTTTCTGTTCACTACACGATGATAATAGTAATTTTGATTGTCCTTAAAATTCACTGATTGTTTCCATCATGGCTGTGTGGTGTGTGTTGGATTCCTCACCCTCCTCGTCCTTCCTGGTCCGGAGCTCCACGTCCTCCACATCTCCAAACTTTCCGAATCGATCCTTCAGATCTTTCTGGGTCACTGTGTGGCTCAACCCGCCAATGTACAGCCGCCGCATCGCTCCGTATCAACGACAACACGGTCACTGCACAGACAACAAACATCAGGGTCACCAATCGAACTGCCTGTCCTGTAATGAAGGAAATCTTCTTCTGTCCGGTCATCAATAGATCATGGATCAGTGCTGACTGAGGTTTTCAGTGTCAGTATCTGCACCTCAGCAGTGCCACAACACTTTGATTCATCAATGATTAGTTGATCGACCAGAAATTTACTCCATGATAATTTAGATAATTGATTAATTGTCATATCTAACTTTGTCATTTAACTTTACTTCAGGTTCTCCACTCTGAGAATTTGCTGCGTCCTTGTTTCAGAAGAGTAAAAACTGAATATTGTACATGCCTTTGTCAATATTTTTAACATTTCATCTTCTTTGTTTTAGACACTAAAGTCATTTTAAGACAGATATCTTTTAAATATTTTATAGGTTCTGGGCTTTTGCAGTACTTATTTTCTTTTCTCATACTATGTTTATAGGGGCAGTTTTGCACCAGAATATAAAAGCAAACCCTGATTCTGATTTTAGATGTTTGGACTACAAAAACCCAACAAAAGTCCAGGATTCATTCATTTATTCAGGTTTTTTTTATATATATCACAGCCCTCTGAGATTCCTAAGTGGTGACAGCTTTAGGAATCATCATTTAAACTTGTACAGGAGTGTAGGTTTACTCTCTACCAGTTAGAAGAGATCTGCACTCTTTATATGTATAAAGCATTTGTAAGTGTTGATTAAACGACACCTCTTAAATTACCATAAAATGAATAAATAACAACAAAAACTGAACATTACATATATGATGTATATTAGGTATATTGCAGGGCTGCTGTTAGACTTTACCTTCAGCTAATGGATCTAATAAACGTGCAAGTGAGATGATCCCTGGACAGACTTCGGTAAAGAGGGAAAATAAGTAAATAAAACAAAACGGACATAATGTTTAACTTATAACGGAGCTGAAAGAGTTAGCAGGATTAAATTACCGGTTTAATTTTTACAGACAGAAAAAACCAACAAATGTTTACCTCACATGTATCCAGCTTGTGTTACCGTTAACTCCGTCCGGGGTTGTGGCTGGCTGCTGTGTCCGACTTTCCCTTCCGCTGTTGTTTCCGTAGATCGTGAAACGTTCCGCTCTGGTTTAATAACGGATGAGATTCAACAACAGCTTTAGAAAAACGCACACACAAAAAGGAATACTGTCTTTATCGGTGAAAATGTTTAATTATGACGGCTAATCAATGGATAAATGACATTTATTTTCTCCTGATTACCTTAAAAACACGATAATTATTCCGGATTGCCAACGTCTGGGACAAACCATTGACAGTATATATACATATAAGAGCTTTCTATGTGGAGGTGACTCTCGCAATTTCCAACTCGGACAAAGTTTTATTTAGTGCCTCTTAGCTCTGATATAGCGCTACTGTATACTTTTAAACACATTTCTATAAACATTTGCGGCACTTATATCCACAGAGAGGAACATCGTCTGACCCATTCTCATATAAAAAGTTGTCCTCCCCCCTCTGACACGTAAAAACAGTGGTACAGTCCAGAGGGCGGGAGGCTCCGAACTGTTTTGGTTGTCAGCGAGAAGAAAGGAGAAATGTGAGGAAACGTTGTTTTATTTTACTATTAAATGAAAAACACTCTTTTATTAGAGTGGTTTTACTACTTTAAAGTAACCTTTATTAAATAATTAGACATTTTAACGGAAATACGGTTAGTTTACTTTATTAGACACGACAGCTCGTCTGACTTCACCCAGCTAGTGTAATGTTTGTGCTAAAGTCATTTTAATTAATCTTAATAGATTTTTACTATCTGCTGTAATTCCTGTGAATAAATGACCTCAAGTTAACCCTTTTGACAACATATTTCTTTAATAATTTAAGCGCTTTGAGGGGATGTTAAGTGCATTTATACAATTAAAAAAAACGACCTCTCTATAAGTTTATTTTACCAGAGTAATATTACAACCTTAGTGCTGCACAGTTAATATAAATATGGCAATATAAGTGCATATATATATATGTATATATATGTTTTGAAGGTAAAATGTGTGATAAACCCGCATTATAATGAAGTAACTTACTGTAGTGCTGCAGAAATGTCCTGGTCTGCAAATCTTGTCCAATTTTAATAGTTTTTTTTAGTGAAAATTACATTTCTGATGCAAAAATTATAATTCCCACACTAATCGTGAACCATATCGTAATATCTGTCAAAAATAATCGCAATATGATGTTTTTACCATATCGTGCAGTCCTACTTTTAATGCTTGTTTATGTTGTTATACTCCAATACAGTTACTAACTGTTTACTCAGTAACCTAAGCCAAGAATCACAATATTAAAGGAACCTAACTTCATTACTTTCCGTTACTTTAGTTACTTTACCAAATATATTAATAAAAGCAAGAGAAAAGAAATGTCCAAGATAAGTGTCAATGCAAGTGTGTTTTATAAGACAACAGAACAATTTAACCTGTGAAAAGGAAAAGAGTTTTAGCATCAGTCTTGTTACCTCTGCTCGTGTATTTTTAAATAAAAACTGATTGTTAAAATTGTAAACCTGCTAAATAATCCCAATTTTTCTGTAACTGTAATGGATCACAGTAAACATTTTGTATGTATGTAACAGTGATTTTATGCTGCCCTCTTCACCCATTGAAACTTCCAAATGTTTATTTATTCCATTGAATCAGTGTTTGTTCTTCAGGATGGAGAATATGAGTGCAGAGAACGTAGAGGAGGTGAGCGTGCTGGAGGCTCAGATCGAGCGTCTCCAGGCTGAAGTTTCAGAGTTGCAGTGCCAACAGCAGGAAAACCACAAGGACATAACGTTTAACCTCCGAGGACAAATGCAGGATGCCGTGTGAGTTTCATTTTTCATTCAACATTCATTCTTAAATCTCTACTGCGACTTCTTTCAGGTTTCATCCTGTAGCATTTCCTAACATCCAACCTATCCCTTTTAAAATGTAGTTTATCCTGTTAAACCTAAACTAAAAACTAGAAAACAGTGAACAGAAGTGCTGAACTGTCACAACAGTAAATGATCAGTGTGTTGTGCGTCTCCACAGGTCGTATCTGTGTGGACGGAGACGAGGAGGAGGGGAGGAGAAGGTGCTGTCCAAGCTGAAGGAGGAGGTGGAGGAGTTGGAGGAGGACCTGAAGCGGCAGACTCAGATGAATGGCATCAGTCTGAACAGCTGCACCAAAAAGACTCTCCAAAGCAGTAAGATCGCAGCAATGTCTGAATCCACACACAGCTCTGTTTTCTGACATTTTATACATGAAATTAGTCATCAAAATGAAGGCAAATAACCAACTAATAGGTTAAAAATAATCGGTACCTGCAGCCCTAAAAATGTGATTTTAAAGGTACGCTGTGGAGCTTTATTTTATTTATATCATGCACGAACCCAGGCAGCGATCACATCCTGTTGGTTTCACGTTATTTCACTGATCAACAGTTAATGCACCAACAAAGGCAGAGAAGAATAATACGTACAATACAAGAATATATGGATGTAAGAGTTTACAACGCTGGATATAAACCACAGAGTATGCACTTACATTGGTGTGTGTGTGTGTGTGTGTGTGTGTGTGTGTGTGTGTACTAGGTGGCAGTAAGCTGGTCCAGCAGTTCTGTTTATCAGGTCACTGCTCTGAACTGGTCTTTCAGGTGGAGTTCCAGCTCTCGGAGGTCAAGGTGAGTTTCTGGTCCACACCTCACTGTGGTCATTTTCTACTAACTTTATCTCCGGGTCCATCTCACGGTACCAATCCAGTATCAACTAAACAAATCCTCCTTTCTTTCTGCTCTTTGTAATATGTTATGTAAACTGTTCCAGTACCTGGGCCCATATACTCATGATTTGAACCCAGTATTATCACAGATATCAGTTATCACCCTCAAAAGTCCAGTATCGGTTGGGATCCACTCATGATATCCCCTACCCAAATGTACCTACCTGGTGTACATGTTCAGATCCAGTTTGGTCATCAACTGCAGCCAAAAACTCAAATCTCAATAAAAGATTGTAAAAGTATTTGTAAAAACTGTAGATTAAACTCAACAGCAGTGTAGAAGAGCCCTGCATATGTTGGATGTAGTGTGAATAAAAACACATTAAAGCATTCACACACTTCGCTTACGCACAATTTACTGACTAAACTTTTAGTTCAGCAAAGATTGATGGTGCTATCTTTTTTTTGTTCAGCAGAGGGCGACAGAGGGCCACGTTCAGTAGTTCACTGAGGGGGAATCGTACAGTTCCTCTGACCTCAAGCAGCTGTCAGACATGCAACACATTAGAGAATGAAGAAAAATCACTGTCAGGTTTTAACTGTCAACCAATCAGAGAACTGCCTCAGAGGAAGAAACAGTGTCAGGTGAAAATAAAATAAAGTAAAAGCAATCTTTTGTAATTTATGTTAAGTCCAAAAATAAGTGAAAGTTCAGATTAGAAAACTCTCTTAGACATTTTACATGTCCCTTTTTATTTTATGCACAAGAACTTTCTTCCAGGTCGAACTTGGTATCCTTTGAAATCATTGATTTTATTGCTGATATGATTCTCAAGTTTCAGTAAGGATACTAAAATGATAATTTTATCCATACCTTACTTTGAAAATATACACGTTTTCCTCGTTAAATGTTGTCTAAACACGAGCAGCCGTACATGATCTGTAAATAAAATACAGTCTACAACAACTGGAAAAACTGATTTAAATTGGGGACTATCGGTGCTCTCTGGTAGCTCACCTGATGGCAGCTTTCAGCCCATATCCCCTCTCTCTCCCCCTTTACTGTCGACCTTCAGCTGTCACTATCCATTGAAGGCAAAAAACCTCATAAAAACATAAAAATAATAATCAGGAATATCTGATTATCACTTTCTATATCATTAATCCGACCACATTTGCGATGCCAACCTTCAGTGCTTGAGAGATTTTGATACTCAGACACATTTTGGTCTTTACCAACAAGTACCGGGGTTCAATACGCAGCCCTACCTCCAGGCCTCTGTCACAATGAAAATGAAGTTTGACCCTTGACAGCCAATACTGTATATGTAAAGTGAACAGTAATTGTAATTTTATTGTACAGAGATTCTGTATTATTGTGATCCTGCTTCATGTTCTTCTGGTTTTCATTCTAACTGGACGAACCTCCAGAACAGCTGCTTTCATTGACTCACCGCTGCCTGGCTCATGATGTGTTGTTAAAATTCTACTTTTTTTCCTGACGTATGAACTTGTTTTGATAAAGGCATTAATTATTTGGCTGTGTAATTTGGCAACAGTCATTCTGTAAACACACACTCTCTTCTTACCCTTTATTATAGTTTGATTAATGCTTACTTTTTTATGTTGCAACATAATGTAAGCTAGTACAACTTCCAGTAAGCGTAAAAGTGTTTTGTTAGTGTTCTAACCCATTTGAGACCGTTCACAGATATGATTTATAGCTCCCCAAATATGGAACAGCTTTCTTCTTAGCATTGAGATGGATGTTTAAAGCAATAGTTCAACATTTTGTGGAAACGTACTTATTTAACAATTTCAGTTTTGGATCCGGATCTGGAGCCTAGCTTAGCTTACCATAAAGACTGGAAGCAGTGGGAAACAGCTAGCCTGGCTCTGTCCAAAATGTAAACAAAGAATACACCTTCCAACACTAAAGACACTCTAATTAACATGTTGTATGGTGTTTGTTTAATCAGTTAACAAACAGACATGTAAAAACCACAGTTTGTGATAATGTGCTGAAATTACACTAAGTTTATTAGGAACACCGGTTCCCACGAGTCTTGGAAAACCTGGAAAAGCTGAAACTTAGAGAGTAGTTTCCAGTCGTGGAAACACCTGTAAATTGATTATTATGACCAAATACCTTGGAAATAATCCATGTTGTCTTGGAAATGTTTGTATTTTAGCCCTTCCACTCAGTTCGCCTACGTAAATCTAGGTGTGTATTTAGTTTGAAACTCGACTGTTGTTTGGATAAACTGTATGATACTTCAAACACACTTGCAGTGATCTTCTTGGCATCGACAGCTGGGAGTGAAATTCTCATATCTACATACATAAAGCATCAAATATCTTGTTGCTGTGGTTGATAAATACATGCACAGTGTATAAAGTTAACTGTATGTTTGATGAACACTTTACCTTTCAAGTCTGCTTGATTTGAACTGTTACTATAAGTTAATGTAGTCAGTTTGCCAGAGTGTTTGAGCAGTCCTGTATTGTCAAGAAAAACTCCTGGAAAATGATTCATTAAAAAGAATGGGGACCCTGGGAACACCTAACTAAAACTAATGCAGACTAATACAACAGTCCTGAAATAAATCCTCCCTTCATGAAGGTCGTAAGGCTCAGTTTATGTTGAAACTGTTTCAGAGAGGTGTTGATTCAACTTGATGATCATTTTGGAGGATGTAGTGTTTAGTGCTGTTGAACTGACTCAGATCTCTGAACTCAGATGATGCAACAAGACTGGTTCCCAGATAGGAAAAGGCTTTGTTTGTTAACACATTATCATGCATCGCTGCACTGTGACTCAGTATTTAGTTGTGAGTAATTAGTGGTGTGTCTGTCTTGCAGGAGGGTCAGGGATCTGAGAGGACAATCAGCAATCTGAATGTGGTGATGGACGCCGGTGACCTGCAGAACTTCAGCGGTTTCCTGTCTGGGTAAGAATCAACACTGCAGATTGATGTTAGGCTGATCTGAAAAAGTATCTGAAATAAACCTTTTTTTAGTAAACTTTTGGTTAGTAAGTGATTATATGAATCACTCAGAACCAGTTTAATAAACTTGCATTGTAAATCTCCAGTACACTAAAAGTACAGTCTTCAGTTCAGTGAACTCTTCCCTCACTCTGCACTGAACCGACGTGCTGTCATGGGTCCGCTGAAGGTGATAAATACATATTAAGTAAGTGATCATAGAGTGTAAAAGGTCTGTAATGGTGATGCACTTCACTGTCTCGTAGTGTTAATATTTGAATGAACTGGGTGACGGCACATCGTTAGAATTATAACCTCTCTGCTTCCAGACACAAGACGCATCCAGACATTCACTAAACATTGAAAATTTGCAGGTCAAAGTTGATTACAGGTTCAATTTGATCTCTGGAGACTGGAAAAACTGGAGATCACACCAAAACGATGCATTCTTGAAATCATCAGTTGAATGGGCTTCAGTTGTGAAGTGAATGAGAGACTGAGCACGTAATCACAGAAACAAGTGTGACTGCACATTAACATAGAGTCAGTGTAACTGATAAAA